CCTTTATACATAAACACTTACTCTAGACTTAACACAAGACATTTGTATCAAAGGCAATCATACCAACATACCCAGACCACCTCATCAAACTACAGAACATGACTAACCCACTTGGTCAAACCATAAAACAATTACGTCCACTAAATCAAAGGGTCACCGCGAATCTTCTTGCATCGCCAAACACTGGATTAGATTCCCCAATCGACTCCCAGCGATCATATTCAACCCACGGAAGCTTAATCGTCGGAGATAGGGGCAAACACATGCTGGCGCAGCTAGTTCGGTCAGGAATCATTGGTTTATGAGAGCAATGGAGATTCATAAGGGTAGCCAGGGGACCAGCAAACAACCGTTGCGATAGGGCACGGTTTCAGACACATTATGGGCACGTGGGGTGGTTTAACTGGTGCAGCAGCTAGGGGAGAGTTTCTGGGACGATTGGCAGTGCGCGCGGAGCTGGCCATTGTCTTGCAAATCCCTCGAAATTTTATTGCTCGTACGCGGTACGTTTCACAGCGCAACGTTCGTCGATTGCCGGGATGGGAACTGGCTGGGAAAAACGGTGCGTTGAATTTTAATTGCAAATTATGATTCAGTTCAGTGGGACGCTTTAGATACTCCAGGTAGATACGTTGCAGTGTGATTGTGTTTGTCGAAGTTTGACTGATGTATGTCTTGAAGCCTCGCAAGTGAGGACCCATAAAAAGCAGATGAATATTATTTCTAGTGTTCCTCTTATGTACTTGTACTCTGGTTTGAGAATGTTCGCCGTGGCATCATGTTTGACACGTATGACTGATGCAACCACGACGTTTCATTAATATTTATCGAATGAAGTTGGACACTCGAGTTCACGTTTAGTACGAGCGTAACAGAAGCTTCACAGAAGCTTCATGGAAGCTTCTTTAAAACAGTGTGTACGATTTTAAAATTAACGTTTGCTGTTGTTTTCAGGTACTCGAGAGCCAAGATGTCGGTGCTTCTGGAAGCAAGGTCTTACCGACCTTTCAAATCCTCCGAGGAGTATCTGGTAGCGATGAAAGAGGACTTGGCGGAATGGCTGAACGCTCTCTATCCGGAGCTAAGAATCAACGTTGACAATTTTATGGACAGGCTAGACACTGGCGTCGCTCTGTGCAAAGTAAGTGACCGACGAACGATTTACGTACTCCTAGAGCCGTAAACTAGCTTCCGAATCCTACCGAACTCGACAAAATCACCGAAACGAAAGATTTCTGATGATTCTCGCGGGAACTTGTTGAAAATTCTACGCGTGGACGACGTTAACGCGACGCGTGCAACGCGCACACAGGCAGGCGCATGTTAAATGGAAACGTAAAAGCACGGAACACGTACTTTTGTCGTGGATCGTGAAACAGAGGAAGAAGGATGCGTGTGACGTCCACCGGAAGCTCTTGCCTCGACGCTGACTGAATCACGAATCAGCCCAGCGCGTGTTGGGAACGGTCTCTGACACGGGGACGAAAGAAACCGCTGGCAACTACTTCTTTCTTCTCCGTTTTCTTTTCTCTTTGTCCTTCTCGCGCGAACCTCGAAAGCGATTAAAAACGTTGGAATGTAAATACGTAAAAAGATTAGAAAAAGAACGGACGGAGGACGTGGGATTCGCTGACATTTTGAAAAAGAGTATGGGGGATGCTTAATGGGTTAGGGAGGTACTCAAAGCACCGGCGTCATTTTTAAATGCTTTTCTGTCAAGAATTTTCGCAAGACATTCTTCAAGTTCCTATTCTTGTCGTCGATCTCTACGTTGGAAACGGGACGGGTTTGAAGTATTAATATATTATAGTAATGCAGAATATACTATAGAATACATGCAATATATAATAATATATTATTATATTGTATAGAGAATATAGTATGATATATTATAGTAATATGAATATACAAAGTGCTAAATAAAAAAAATAAATAAATAGGTTAGGTCTGCTTTTTGGCTCCTGGGAATTTTTAAACATTCTCCATGAAGTATTTCTCGCAACCCATCCTCGAAGTTGTCTATTCTCAGCCTAGCCAAACCTGAGAAAGACTCGTTTACACGTCCCCCTGGAACAAGGTGAGGCTTTAACGAGCTGTCGTCCCCATCGAACAGTAGCCGTGTAACTGAATTTTTTGAAAGAGGCATACCGGTTAAACGAATTCTCCTTTTGAAATTATCGAGACCCACATCGGTCTGAAAAGACACGCGAACGAGTTTTCCGCGCGATAAAGGCAGCGTCGAAGCCGAAGAATGTTGGCGCGAGAGAACAGACGAGGTGGAAGGAATCATTAGGCGCGATTTTAAGCGGCACCACGTGGAGTGGGAAGAAAAATGGTCGGCCAGGTAGACCCGAGGCGGCGATTGTCATTAACCGTAACCGCCTGCGATTATTGTGATAGCCGTTAAGCGAGACAGTGTGTAAAGTAGACGGTTGCCGCGCGTAGAAAGTCGCGGAATCAGAATCCGCGATAAATTTCGCGGAATTTACCGTCGAGATAAAGTGAATTTGCATCGGGTGAAAATAACTGGGCGTCGTGTCTATAATGGTGCCGCTGAATGGCAGCATAACTTCGCTTGTTTTATAGCAGCCGCGCGCGGCAACGTTGAAGCTGGCCTAACGACACGCCAGGCCTAGCGCTCGCCGAAACGCTTCGAACGATCACGCGGACTTGTTCAAATGAAACATGAATTGGGAACGAATGGTTGACGAGACGTTTTGTTTCCTAGAGCCTTTTCGAGATGAACGTTTCGACAGCTTAGAGTTGGGAGCCTGGTGATGGCTAGCATTGCGGTCTGAATAATGAGCCTACAGCTCAGTGTTTCAAGAACCTTACATGGGTTGGCTGGGAAATTCAGATACTTAAAGTTAGGTTTTTGGGACTCTGAGCTCCCAAAGGTTAGGTTCTTTGGATTCTGAGCTCTCAAATGTTAGGTACTTTGGACTCTGAACTGCCAAGGGTTAGATTCTTTGGACTATGTAGTCCCGAAGGTTAGATTCTTTGGCCTCTGAAATCCTGAAGGTTAGGTTCTTTGGACTATGAAGTCCCGAAGGTTAGGTACTTTGGACTCTAAGCCCCAGATGAGTAAGTTCTTGAGACTCTGAACTTTTAGAAACTAGATTCTTCAGGCTTTGAGCTGTCAATGGGTCGGTTCTGGAGACTTTGAGCTACAAAGAGTTAGGCTCTCGTAATTATGAGCTACCAAAGACGTAAGTTTACACAATTCAGCTATCAGAGTCCAACTTTTGATAATCTTCTGAGCTCTGTCTGTCCACTCTTACAGAATGCTAATCTATGAAGGTAATTACATGATTCTCTACCATTTCTTCGAGTATCAATAATCCCCGGTCCCAGTCGCCAACCGTAATCTCGAAATACCCTATTCAAGTGTTCAACCGATTCCTGACATCGTCATCCTAGCTCGTTCCTAAGATTCCAATGGTCCCTTGTATCTATTCAGCCTGGAATCCTTAGGAGCTAATTACCAACGAGCACCAGAGCAAGTAGGCGGTTAATCGGAGCGGACAATCAAAGTGTCCAAGTGGTGTTCGACACGATCAGGCCCCTCGGGACTGTCAAACTAAATTCTGAAATCCGAACCATCGTATCCGTGGCGGTGTGTCGAAAGAACACGCAGCCCCGCGCTATATCGTCGGGGTACGATCGTGTGTGCCATTCAACGGCGGCGATAGAGTAGTCTCGCGTGTCGGATTGGCTGTCGCCAGCGCAAACGGAGCAGCAGCCGTGCAACGAAGTAGCAGCGCGGACTTTCACTGATCTACGAGGAGAGCTGGCCCCGCTGGAACTCGACTCTATGCGGCTGTCGGAGTCACGCCGCGTAAAATCGGCTCTCCGTGTCCGCGACTGGCCAGGGATCCGGGGCCCATTCATCGCCATAGGCGGACCACGGCCATTACTTAATGAAACTTTTACGTAAACGCCCCGTTTGCATGCCATTATTCACCCGGCTGATGTTTTGTCGTTGGAGTTAGTTGGAGAAAGGAGGGTATTTTGGTTTGGTGAAGTTTGGAAAATGGGTCCGAACCTGGTTTGAAGGAGTGTTGGGAGTTAGGTTTTGAGGAGCTTTAGTTATTTGAGGTTAGGTTCTTGGGACTTTGAAGTAGAAATGGTTAGGTTTTGGGGATCCTGGGATACTAGAAGTTAGGTTCTTAGGAATCTGCGATACCTAAAGTCGGGTCTTGGGATTCTGAGATATCTAAATAAGGTTCTTGGGGCACTGAGCTGTAAAAGATTGGGTGATTTGGACTCTGAGCTTTCAAAGGTTAGGTCCTTTGGACTCTGACCTCCTGAAGGTTAGGTACTTTGGACTCTAAGCTCTCCAATGTTAGGTTCTTGGGACTCTGAGCTCTCAAAGGTTAGGTTCTTGGACTCCTAGCTGCCAAAGGTTAGATTCTTTGGACTCTGAACTCCTGAGTGTTAGGTTCTTGGGACTCTGAGCTCTCATAGGTTAGATACTTTGGACTCTGAGCTACCAAAGGTTAGGTTCTTTGGACTCTGAGCTACCAAAGGTTAGGTTCTTTGGTCTCTGAGCTCTCAAAGGTTAGGTCCTTTGGACTCTGAGCCCCTAAATGTTAGGTACTTTGGACTCTGAGCTGCCAGATGTTAAACTTGAGTCTTTGACTTGTCAGAATCTGTATTTTTCCGACTTTGCACTAACCACTGTTACTTTCTGGGACCAGAACTATGAAGAGGTTCTTATCCTTATTACCTACCAAAGATCAATGTCCTCGAATTTCTCGTCCACCAAATTCGAGCGTGACGAGTCTCTAAGCTGTCCGGGTCCACTTTGATTCATCTCTCTGCTACTACAGCTACTACTCCACTACTCCAATATCCTCCATCGAGTATCAACAATCCCCAATCCCAGTATTCTAGCGCTACCCTGTTGGCTTGCGATCCGCTTGGTCCCATCGCTAGGTATCGGCGGTCGTTATTAGCAGTGCGCGCCGTCGTCGTTATAAATTCATGCCAGAGAAATATTTAGAGTAGGCAGGACGATAAAGGCGTGCAGGGTGGGGAAGAATCGAGTCTGTGCATCGGGTACGCGCCCCCATTGCGCCGGCTAAAGGATTACGGCCCTCTCGCAAACGGATCTCTCTCCGGTCGGACCCGCGGCCGTGGAATTTCCGATCCTGAGGCCTGTTCGCGAGCCACCTTTTGCGACCGCGTCGACTTTACGAGCCGTGACGAGAGCCAAGCCAGCGGAGAAGGGCGCGGTACGTAATAAGGTACGAGCCGCGCCGCGATAAGGACCCCCGGTGCTCTCGATGCGAGTTCTCTCGCTGGCTGACACGTTTTTTCCACGTCTGAATAAGGACGCGCCACCGGACACCACTGGCCACGCTTTCTTTTATCCTATCGCCGCGATGGGACCGCCTCGTGAATACGTATTAGGACGCGGACGACGCGACGTCGGCAAAAATGGGGATTTTCAGGGACGACAGCGATGGCCGGTCGTTTATAACGCGTTTGGGATCCTCCGATGGGTCTTCGACATGTGGAATCGTGAGGTGAGGGTGACTGGACCGGGGATATTCGTTGGGAAACTTTCGGGTTTGAATACACACGGCATGGTATGAACTGTTCACTGCGCAAGTCGATTTAACTCCAATTTTTGAAAAATTTTAAATTTGATTCCGAAGCACTTGGTATAGTCACAAGTTTGTATAACTTTCCTGAAAAGGAAAGAACCTTTTTCGATATTTATTTGAATTTATATTACCAAGGGAATTTAAAACAAAAATATAGTGCAGGGCGTACTATGATATCAGACATATTTATGTAATAATTTCCATGAGGATGTTGAGAGCAACCAAAAAAGATTTCATGAAGATTGGACTAGGCTAGTTGAAGTTATAGAGGAATCATAAACAGGTGCAGATTCTCAATATTTTATTTTGACTGCTGACGTTTGTCCAAACTCATAGTTTTACATATTTATGTAATGATTCTCATGGAGATGTTGAGAGCTCCAAAAAAGATTTCATGAGGATTCAATTAGGCTAGTTGAAGTTACAGAATGTTTTATTTAGACTGTTGATGTTTGTGCAAACCCATATTTTTATAGAATCAGATTTGAACGAAAGTATGTCTTACCTGTACTTGCAAAATGAATATTGT